TGAAGGATTATAATTCGAGTCAGTCAACTATGATTTTGATTATAGTTGGTCCTTAATCCTTAAATTTGAAAGATTAGTATTGTGCGAAATTCCCGTTATCAAAGAAAATACGAATTCTTAAGCGACTGCATTGATACGAGTCGGATTAATAAGCCACTTTTTTTTGTCTGGGAAGGATAAGCCAAACAAAATGTGGATATGCACCCATCTTTGTACGAAAAAGTTATAATTCAAACGAAAGTAGTATTGAAGTAATAATTGAATGAAAAAAACAGTTTCCTTTATAGAGTCATCACTTAGACGAAAGTAGTAGTAGTTCTATTTTTACTATTTATATTGGTCCTTTTATTCCATCCATGGACATTTTCCTTCATTTTTGTTTTCTTATTCTTCAAAGTTATTCCTAATAATAATTTGCCTCTTTTTGTTTGTAGCTAAAGGAGCCGATGTCACAACCCATAATTTATTCGACCGGAACTTAAAAACGGATTTAATGTTGGGATAAATTCATTTTGTTTAAATCTCATGTGTTATATAAGTTAGATGGTGTTTTTTTTTTTTTATAGATATATCAATATAAGTAAAATGTTATATTAATTAATATGATAATGTAATCTATAAATGTATGATGAAAGTCATAAGACAAAAGGTGACCCATGACAACTATAGCTTTGTTCCAAAACAGTAGTATCCATTTACGTACAACATCGACCCACATATGAATCAATTTCCCTACAATAATGTCATCGAACTATTATTGACGAAATTTCTAGTTCTATATAATTTAAATTTATCTAGAAGTTTCCATTTATATCATAAATTTTTATTTAAAATAACTATTATTTAAAAATGTCAATATCGCATCATACATAACAAGCGTCCAAGGTTTCAACTATCTTTCAGAGCACATGGAACTACTTTTTTTTTTTTTCTTTCTTCAAAAATAAAATTAAAAACTAGGAACAAAAAATAAAACATAAATGCACATATTCGTCTTGATCATCATCGATATAGTATTACAACTTTTGACACCTTTCTTCAATGGAAATTCTGATTCCTACCATTTGATAAGAATTTTCCAAGTGTTGTAAAATAGCTACACATCAAGCTTAGTAACCTTCACCTGATAACATATATACAAAAAAATTTAAAAAAAAAAAAAAAACTCAAGCATAAGATAAAAGTAACATAGGAAAAAAATAGGAATTTTGGGTTTAATTGATCGCAACAAAACTTCGTGGTTAAATCTGGTAACAATATAAAGTACAGGGACTGTTAAATACAATACCTGAGGAGTTTTTTTTTTTTTGTTTTTGTTTTATTCTTCTTCACTATTATCAGAAGAAGAAGACGACGGAGAACTGTTTCCATCATCGCCGGCGACCCAATACTGCTTCGTGGCGACGAGAATCTTCTCCGGCACGAGAGGACCATCTTCATGATCCATTAACTTAGTGTCCCATCTCATTCCATCGGCGATCTTCCTCACATCATTCAAAACATCAACCTCATCCCGGAAAATCACAATCCCTTCCGGTCGTAAAATCCGATCAGTTTCAAGAAGAATATCTTCAAGTTTGCAGCTGCCAAAATGAAATTGACCCATTACTTAAAAAACCCTTAGTACAGAATTGAACCATTGATCACTAGTTCTCAAAAAGTTTGTAGCTTTAGGGTTTAGATCAATGGTTGCTAATTCTCAGAAAGTTCATATCTTTAAGGTTAAAACAAGGGTTAGTAATTCTTAGAAAGTTCATAGCTTTAGGGTTCAATTCAGCGTTGCTAATTCTCAGAAAGTTTGTAGCTTTAGGGCTAAATCAAGGGTTGTTGATTCTCAGAAAGTTTGAAGCTTTAAGGTTAAGTTAGGGTTTATAATCGTTACCTGTGTTGATACAAGCTGAAGACACCATTAGCATGAATGAAATCGTATGTTCTTGGATAAGTTGAAAAGCCTTCACACCTGCAGAGATTTGAAAAAAGGCAAGATATTGAGAGACTAATCAGACTATTGCCATTGATGGAAGGAAGATAAAGATTTGTGTGTGTAATTGTGTATAGATGTTTTACCAGTCATGGTAGATACCAATGAGACCTCTCTCATAGACAACACTCAGTGTGTTCTTGTTAATGGTTGGATTCACATTCATAACCCAAGATTTAGGCGATTCGAGCGCAGCAGCGAATCCACCAAGACCGGCATTCATATCCATCACATTACGGTATCTGGTGGAACCTATCAGTCTGTTGATTCTCTTGTAAGCAGTCACTCGCTTCTTCCATAAGTTGATGTCTTCTTGGTATGATTCCTCGTCGACGCCATTAATCAAACCTTTAGAGATACTTGGAGGTACTGCGAATAGCCTCTCGGGAAACTTCTTTAGCTTTCCTCCAGCAACTTCTTCTTCGCTTGATACTTTAGGGAATGGTGTTACACACGTTTCAATTTCCTTGTACCAGATATCATCAGTGTCCTTTCTCTTGCAGGTGTTAACCGGTGTTGATCTATCGCAAGATCTATCGTTTATTTTCTTTCTGAAAATCGCAATGTCTCCCTTCTCATACTTCTTCTCCCAGCACAAGGACTCTGCGATTCCCTCTATTCTCTTTTGCTCGGCGTTGAGCTCTGCTTTAGTTCGGTTCCACGTCTTGTGCCACGTCTTCCAGTTGATCGGAGGACCTGATAAGACCCAGTAACCTCCAGGTCTCAAGACTCTATCAACTTCCATTAAGTACGTTCCCTCTGTACAACCAATCAAGAAGCAAAGACACAACAAATATGAGTATATATTGAGCAAGAAATGTGAATTTGCACCTAATTTGATAGTTCAAAATTTACCGTTTGCGGTCCATGGTATCAAGCATCGAGAGCATTGAGCCATATCAAAGGCTCTTGCAGGGTAAGGAAGAAGAATTGATCCAAGAACAGCGATAATCGCTGGAACACCTCTCTCAAGTGCAAACTGGACTTGTGCTTCGTGGTTATCCCTTGGCGCAAACGACATAGTCAAAACATTCCTCTTAAGCATATAAGCACCCCAACTTGCAACCTAGAGATGGGAAATTCGCATCAATAAGAATCTAAGAATGAATAAGATATATTACCAGATCAAAACAAAATCGACTTACCCCACATCCGGTGTCCAATGCGGTTCTAACAGATCCATCTTTGATTGGGATAACAGAAGCGAGCTCTTCGATATACGCATCAGCGCCTTGAGGGAACATAGTTCCTCCACCAGGGAATTTAAACACATTCCCTTGAAACTGAACCCAATTCTGTCCAGCTTTTTCGACAGTCAAGCTCTTGAAAGGAGCATTAGCATAGTGAACATAATCCCTGCTTTTAGGCCAAGGGAACGGAGTCATATACCCTTTAGGAGCTGGAACAAGACAACGCAGTTTCTCATTATCGGGAGGACAATGTCTCTCTCTGTAAATCATGTTCTCTCTCGGGAACTTCATAGCTCGGTCTTGCTCTTGACAAGGCGTATAATCCTTGAGCTTCACATCACACGGCTTGAAAGAAACCGGTTTTGGATCAGCTTTACGTGGAATCTTCACTGTATTGTGATGAGGTTCAAAGTCAAGATCAGTGACAATGTCAGTACACTGTGCTTGCTTAGTTATCTCCATTGCTATGCTATCTCCTTTACCAAACCCACTCTTTTGCCATGCTCCAAGAAGGTAGAAGAAACAACATAAACCAACCACAACGAGTAAAGATAGTGTACTTCTCGATCTGTTATTCCCTGGTGGGTTATGCTTAGAACCCATGATTCTTTCAAATCTCCTGAAGCATTTTCAACAAATCACAAACTTGATTCTTAGTAAAACACACTACTTTGAGATAAAAACATCAAGATCTGTTAAAAAGAGGATCCAAGCTAATTCAAACTAATCAAAACCTAGACTTTAACAATTGAAATCTAGGGTCTATCGATTTCAAAGACTAATCCTAACATAAAAAGATTCAAAGACAATAACTTTAGCAAGTAATCGAAAACCCAGAATCGGATCTCGTTGAAACAGAGCTAGAAAACGAAGTAACAATAGAGAGAAATAGTCACCTGGTCGATATAGATCTTGATGTAGCAGAGAGAGACTCTACAATCTCTTTCTATTATCAGATCTCTCTGGTTTAAGCTCTTTTGAGTGATGAGCTAGCAGAAAGTATAAAGCTTTGTGAGTATGACAGAGAGAGAACTCACTTAAAATAATGTCTTCTTCTTCTTTGTCTTCACTAATTAAGATTTGATTTTAACTTGATGATGAAGGCGCGTTTGATTCAATTCAATTTCAAAAAAAATATTAATTTGGAATTAAATGTGTGTAGTTTTGCAGCAAGATCTTAGCAATATTATTACAATAGTCATAGATTTAGATCTAATCTTTGCACATGCATCCATATGTTATTTCAAACCCTTTTGGGTGAGTTTGTATATAAACTATACTATTTATTTTTTATATTTTTAATCTCTTAGGTAGTTGATTTTATCTAGTTAAAATAAATTTCAGGTTATGGTTTAGCATTATTGGAATGAATACTTGAAGATACATAAGAAACCATTTGGTTTATATATAAAAAAAGATCAAACCCATACGTTATAAGATTGCATAATAATAGAAAGAAAAAATTAGTTTGTTGAAACGAGTGATGTATTATAATTAGCCGAAGAATCTTGTCGTCCCAAGTGGTCCTTCTCAGACAGTTGACAATTTGACATGCTCGCTACTTAGATCTCCTACCGACACTCCCATTTCCTCTAACCGGTCACCGTCAAAAACCGAGTTAATCGGTTCACTGCTAAACAATCATTCCATAATTTAAAATAAATGCTTAGGTGAAATTTTAAAACCTAAATTAGAAGTTCGATTAAATCTGAGGATGTAAATAGATGACAAAAAAATGATGAAAAAAACACAAAATAAGAGAGAAATTTATGACAAATTTTTTTATTACTTCAGTTTTTTTTTTTTTTTGTTTCTTCCAAAATCAACAATATGCATATAATAAAAATTACCAAAAAAACAAAAATATGTCCTCACCATCCAACTTTCCATTTCTCTGACAATACATCTTGACCGCTCGCTGAATTCCAAAGATAAAGACCATCAGTTTTTGCGGTCCAAATACAATTCTTCCAACCGCATCTATGAAACAAAATAACATCATCCCAAAACACGTTTACATTCATATGACCATCATCTTTGCTCATATAGCCAGGGCCGGCGCAGAGGCCAAGCAACTGAAGCGAGCGATTGGGGCCCCAAAATGTTAGGGCCTTTAAAACTCAAAATTTGTTAAGTTTTGGATATGCTGCAAAAGCAATAAATTTATTTTGTAGGGTCTTTTTTAAAAAATGATATGGGCTTTTAAAGACAAACTAATTATCTTCAACACTAAATTTTTGATTTAGTAAAAAAAACTCTAAAACGCTGATTGAATATAAAAAAAAAAAACTGACGCTACATGATACTTCTTATGCGTGTATGTGAGTCAATTTGATTATTTTACAAGTGAAAAATCCTAGTTTTTGAAGTTAATTGTTAGTTTTGCTTTTGAATTTATTGTTTTTTCCTTGCAAATTTGTTTTAAAAAAGAAAACTGCAAATCCGATAATGATTCGTTAATGTTTTTTGTAATATATGAAAAATGCATACTTTTTGAAGCTTTGCGTAGGGCACTCGCAGATGTCGGGCCGGCACTGCATATAGCACCAAAACAAAGTTGAGTGAAGCATATTTTCTCCGAAGTTCCAAAAAAATCTATCTCTAAACTTCAAACTAATTTCACCTAGATCATCTTCCTTAGATTTACAATGGATGAAAAGAGTTTCACCAGTGGTCAAACCGTTAAGAACCGTGACTTGCCACTCGGAAATCTTTGGGACTATGATGTCTCTCGTGGTGGTGCCGCCGGCTAAGACATGATCTTGACATGTTAGGGCTAGAGAAAAGCAAATTGTCAAGAGAAACTTTTTGATGCAATTCATCTTTTTAATTTTCGGGCAAGTAAAATCTTTAGGAATTTCTTTTTTGTTACTTCTTTTTATAATGTTAAGTAAAACGGTAATTGACGTTTAATTAAATTTTGATGCTATTACATTGCATTAATGACGAGTTATGCTGCAAATCATTTACGTGATCACAGGTTAATTAGAATTGAAGTTGAAAGGTTTAGTCACTATGACAATGTTACAGTATTTACCCTCAATTAATTTTTATATCCCAAAATAAACCGGTAAAGTTTATCAGGTTAACTTCAATCACACATGAGTACATCTGTACATGGGCTCTTGTCATTTAAACATCAAAACATGTATTATATTATATATAAGCTTTTAAGGCCCAATAAGTCTTTAGTTAGAAGCATTGTTCTAAAAATCCCCGCCTAGACCCGATTACTCCCCGCTTAATCGCTAGGCCCACCCTATCCGCCTCGTTTAATGACTAATCCTCTAAAGAAATCAGTCACCCAATTACTCTCCGCCTAATCCGATTACTTCCCGCCTAATCTGATTATTCTCCGCCTAATCTTACATACCCCGATTATTTTTAGATTGCTAGTATAAAAAAACTTTTAATTTTTGTTATTCAATCATTTGAATTGGGACTTTGTAATGTTTTACAATAACTTATGTTCAAATTTTAATAAAAATCATAAATTTGTAATAAAAATCATAAAAATTTGTTTCAAAATTACATTTTTATGTATTTACTGCAATTTTGAAAATAATATTGGATTGATATGTTTTAAGAATATTAAAATAACCCTAAAACTAATCCTCGATTAATCCTCGATTTTAATCCGATTTTCCGATTAATCGCTAGGCCCATGCCGAACGCCCGACTAGCGCCTAGCGATTTTTCAAACAAGGGTTAGAAGGAGATAGGATTTGTCGGTTAAGTAAGATTGCTCTTACTCCGGTGGATTATCAGAAAGTAATTGCCTGACTACCATCATAAGACCATACAAATATATTACTAAATGAAATGTCAGAGCTTGTGAACAATCAACACTCACGAGCAAAGACAGTGTGTCAAGTCATGTTGCGATGATATAAATAGAGATCTCTCACATACAAAACTGTAATTGAAACAATGCAAAGATTTGAGAGAGGTTGTTTCGTTTCAAGCGGTGTAAGCGTTCTTTGCATTCCTGTCGAGCTTCTTCGCATCCTCCTGAGAAAACAGAAACCAAACCAAACTATGAGAGATCTGAAATATAAAACGACTTTTAAATTAGTATCATGAGAAGCTCTCTTCTTACATGGATGATGAAACCTATGCTGTTGTTGTAATCAAGAAACTCCTTCCATTGTTTTCCAATGCTCACCTGCAACATTGAAGCACACGGGAATTCATGTCGTTTCTTTTCACAGAGAGACTGCTTAATGAGTTTTGATGAGAAATGTCCTTTCTATTTACCTGAGCAGCTTCGTTTGAAGCGTTTTTGGTCCAAATAGATATCCTTTCTTGCTTTCCTCTAATGTTAACAACTGCTCCGCATATTTCATCTCCGTGATCGAACTGTTCTCCAATCAAAGCAAGCAACTAGACCAAGCATGTAAAAAAGAAAAACCCGGTTAGACTTGATAGGATGGTGAAGAGGGAACTATGAGTCAAAATAAAAGAAAATTAGAAACCGTACAGTGTAGAGCCAGCTCTTATCAGACTTCTCCTTAGGGAAATTCATAGTCCATTTGCCTCCATTTGCACAAATAGGATCCTCCCACTTAGGTTCAATATTGTGTTTGAAACAGTAGAAGTCAGCTCCATGAGCTAACTTGCTCGGATGCTTCATGTTATTGTACAAACTGCAAAGCAAAGCAAAACGTCTTTCAAAATAAGAAGTCGAAAGAACAATACACAAACCAAAGAATCTCATGAGGAAGAGCTTCACAATACATATATCCTGATACCTAGAAAATCACTAAGAAAGATCTTGACCCACAAAGTTCGTCTCTTTTACTCACAAACTTTTGGTTCAATGTTTAGTTCATCTGAAGCAATCAAGTGAACAAAAGATCTTAGCTATCTACTATAAACCCTAACATAAGCTTTAGCTACGAATTCAAACACCAAACATAGCAATTCATCAGAAACATATGAAAAACAATGACTTCAATGAAATCTTCTAATCCACCAATAAAGAACATAACTTTCCTCAACAAATCGAAATCTAAACAAAACCCAGATGCAGAATAATTGAACAAACAAGATATTGAGTCGGAAAAAAAATCAAAAACCTAACCTCCAAAATTCCTCAACAGTGGAGAACGTGAACACGGGTCGCAAGGAACTTCCCCAAGTGGTTTGCTTCGATTTCACAGAAGGATTATCGAACCAGAAAGTCCATGAATGTTCTAAAGGATGCGATTGAGGAACAGCGGATTTGCTCGATTCGTCAACGTTTCCGTCTCCATCACCTCCAACGATCTCTCCTTCTTCGGCATCATCACCTTCCTCATGGTATCGATCAATCGGATTCTCTATAGAATTAGGGTTTGCTTCTTCCGTAACAACAGATTTGGGAGTGTCTTCTACCGCCATTGTTTCTCAGAACTGCCTCTCTGTGTCTCTCTCTCTTCCTCTCTGTTTCTCTTCTCCAAACTAATGTATTTCCACTCGTAGGGTTAACTATGATACGGCGTCGTTTCTATTACATATTCATGTTTTATTATAATTTTTTGGGTTTTTTGGGCTAAAGATATAAATCAACAATTATTTTGGGCTTTAACTTGTTGAGGCTCCGGCCTCCATATTTTTAATAGGCTGCATACAATTTTTTTCCTTTTTCTCTTAAAGGTTTTCTTATGGTCATGTTAGTTTGAAGAACATGTAATATAGTTTGTTTTGTTGTCATCAACAAAATTAACTAATTTTAGTGATTAACACTAATTCAAAATTTGAAACGTTAAAATATTTAGTGACTGAATCTTTAGTTGCTAGTTCTCGAAACCGGTCACCAAATTCCCTTATTGAATTACTAACTACAAAAACAAACGAGAATTGGTTGTTTCATTGGTCACTAATCTTTTGTCGCTGATCGAACAAAATTCTTTTTTTACCAAAACGTGATGGTATCTTAAGCAATCCTGTAAAACGAACATGGTCTAAAGCTTTTTTATATGCTTTCACATACTAAAAGAGAATATTAAGAGAATGTGAAGTATATTGTAGACTGTCAAAAGCTTGGGAGATTTACATATTGTGGAAGTGTTAATATAGCTTTGGAATATTATAAACAACTTGATGTTAATTATATATATTTACTTTTATTGTTAAAAAGTATTATTGACTATGACTTAGCTTAGTGGGTTGTGGTAATAATATCGTATGTGTTTCACCATCTGAGTTCATATGTGGATATATCGAAGGAAAACGCTAGGAGTCAATCGAAAGCAGATTATTATTTTGATTCGCTTAATTATAAATATCTAAGATGTCAACACTTTGACGATTAAGTTTGACTATATAAGTGAGTTTGTCTAACCTTTCTAATCTGCCCCATTGTAGTATTCCTTTTAAGATTTTATGTTTTTTAATGTACCTACTTTGGGTTAAGTAATATATAAAGTATGTTTACCAAAAAAGAACAACCGGATTCTAAATCTAAACAATAAACATTTGTGTTTAAGTTCCGTGCATGTATATTTAAAAGTTTAAATATGTGGATATACCTCAGGAACAAATTAAAAGAGAATTTTCTTGAATTTAAGTAATTGGTTTTATCGGTCGAATGAAAGAAAATAGAAAATAAAAAGATTTCATAATGTTTTGCAGTCGAATGTATTCTATTACTTCATAGTTGATAGTGACGTATAACTGAGTGAATCTGGTTCTATTACATTAACTGTCAGAATTTGTTTTATTGTGAATCACTAGTAAGTAGTACGTAAATAGATAACTAAGAGGCGGGTGCGTATGAAGAGAGGTTATGAATATTTTTTTGGATCATGTAGTATATTTGGAAGGTGAGAAATTGAAAGATTTTCGTTAATTTGAGCGAACCGCCTCAGAAAACTTTGAACATTGCGATCTAAGAGGAAGAGGCTTGGAGGGGAGCAAAACGACGAGAAAAGCCCCAACCCGAGAGGAATCATGTAGTACAAGTGTCACCAATTCTAGCGGACAGACCGGTATGCTTTATTGACGAATCTTGGCATGGGGAGGAGTCTAGGAGTGGTCATGGTTGGATTGTTTCATGTGGAGGAAGATTATTACACTTAGGACTAAAGAGTTCACGCAGAAGTCTTTCCCCCTTGCCTTGCATGCCGAATTGGAGATTCTTTTGTGGACGATGAAGTGCTAACTAGCGATTCTGATGACTAGTATCCTCATTTTGACGGATTGCTCGGATCTTATTGAGATATTGACTTCTAGCCCCGAGGAGTGGTCTACTTTTTCTATAGAGATGAGAGATTTTGTGTATTACAGAGACTTATTTTCTACTTTTAGTATTGAGTATATCCCTCATATTGGTAATAACTCCATTGATCATCTTGCGAAATGTGTAAGAGTTCGCGGGTTTTGTTTTTCTATGTAAATTCGACGATACCCGATTGGTTCTCTCTAATAAAAAGTTTTTATCCGTGAATTAATATATGGAGTTTGATTGTAAAAGAAAAAATAGATTACTAATTGTATAAACTCTCCCAGGCACAAAAACCAAGGAGCCGCAAGCCATTGACGAAATGAGCTTCTTCCACCGTTGCTGCTCCTCCGACGATCTTCAATCCTGATCAGTGGGTGCTTCTTAGGCGAGATCTCTCAGCTGGTGGCCTCCTTTCTCCGGTGACGTTGCTGTTCCGGCGAGTTTCCCCTGAGATGATTTTCTCTTCGTTGTTGATTTCGAGCTCCTCTCTTCCTCTCCCGATGTATTCGGTTACTTTCCTCGTTCTGAGGTCTCTTTCGGCTCCACCATCGGAGCCTCCGTCTCCACCGTCTCCGCCAGAACCACCGGACCCGCCGGATCCTCAGATCCACCCTTCTTCTGGTGAAGATTATGCTCAGCCGCTCCTCCTTCCACACTTCACTGGTCTTCCACGTGTTCACAGTGAATACAAACTTCCATCTCCGCCACCCTCGAGACTTGTTCCTCCAATCATCACCGTTTTTGTGCCTCGTCGTTCAAGCCGCCGCTGCTGCCGCGTGCCCATCACCACACGTTCCCCAAAAGTGAATCTAAGGTTGATTCGATACATTATCTGGAATGGTCTAGGATATTATTCTCGTTTTGTGTCGACGCCTTTACTTTGGCTGAGCGATTACCAGTTTCGAGTCCAAGCTCCATCGATTGTCCCCACCGCGATTCTCCCCTCCGTTCCTCCTGGAAGTCTTGTTGTCGTCATCTACTACCTCGCTCTCGCCGGGAACTCCTGGGATTGGCTGGGCTTGGTTCAGCCTTGCGTGTCCTCAAGTGACATGTATGTTGCCTTCCCGTGTGCCCCGAATGTTGTAGACACCTCGTGGGCCGGATTCGTCATGATCTGCGTGTGCACAAAGATTCAGACCGGCTCTCTCTCCAACGGGCAGCCCTGGCCCTCATGGGCTCTCTCCATCTACATGACGTCGGAAGGTATGGTATATGTGACCCTTTGTTGTGGGGTGCATAGGCCTAGTAAAAGCCTCCTGTTAGTTCCCAATTACCTCAGTATGAGGATTCATCAGTTTCAAGTACCTCAATATGAGGATGTTTACAAATTTGATCAAAACTTTGATAGAATGGCTGTAATGTCTCCTGAGGGAAGGCATTTTGGTAGACAGTCTTTGGAGATTATTGTTTCTGGTTTTGTTTTGGATTTGATTAGTGCAGGACCAAGAAGGAGCGTTGGCATCCTTTGTGTTGTTATTGGGTTGTGTGCAGGACTAGGCTTCACGGAAGAGAACATCTGTGTCATAAAGTCCCAACTAATTCAGCCACCATCACAAAAGATAGAAGTGTTCTTGAACTTCTCGGATGTGGCATGGTTACAATGCGGTTTGGGCTGGAGTTTCAAAGACCCACTCAACGGAAAGATCCAACATGGATCTTTTTCAAGACCCTTTGTGTCTTTTGTTCTCGTAGCGGAGGCACTAGCTCTCAAGACGGCTATCACAGCGGCTTTAGCATTGGGTGTATCAAAGCTGGCTTGTATTTCGGATTGTCAGGAGCTTGTTCTCCTGCCCAATACCGGTGGCCACGCAAACGAACTAGATGGCATAGTAGCGGATTGCAATCTCTTTCGTTCTATGTTTATGTTTATGTATGTTCTTTTTGTTTCAAGGGCTGAAAACTGTGGAGCTGATGCTGTAGCATAAGCTTGTCTTCTATCTTGTTTTCTCTCCTCTTTATGTGGAGTTTGAGTTTTTATTAATATTATGTTGGTTTACAAAAAAAGATTACTAATTGTATAGAATATAATCAAAAAGTTATTCTTGACACCAGTTCGAGTTCGGTTTTTGTTTATATTCATTCTTTATATTTTATAAGAAATATAAGATTATTTGATTCGCGGCAAAAACATAATTGCATGGCTTGTTTATATGCCGTCAAACCAAGAATATAATCTCGAATGGTATACATGTTTCAAGTAGATATTTGATAATGCATGATTCGAGAATATATTTATATATGATAGTACGTAATTCTTTAACAAAAATAAATAAATGATAGTACGTATCTATGTTGTATGAAAACTCTCTTCGAGGTCCGTTTATCTTTTCCGAAACATTTCAGAAACAGAAACTCTTCGAAAACATGAAAAACGTTACGGAAACGCGTTTCCTAAAAATTTATGTTTGGAAACACGATGGAAACTCACGTTTCCAAAATGGAATCGCGACAAATCCTTTTTGTTGACTTTGGAAACTACAAATAAAGTTGAAAATATTAAGATTTATAATAAATATAACTAATTTTGGAATACTCTGAGTTTTAAGATCTTTCTATCGAGAAACTAGATTTGGAGGCATCTTTATATGATCTATGATGAAACTAATGAAAATGAGAATGAAAATGTTAGTCTAAATTAAATATTTGAACCTGAACCTTTTAATCTTCATCTTTTAGAATTTTAGTTAACGTATTTAATATTGATGTTTTGGATTTGTATTGTTTAATTAAACTATTTTTTATTTAATATAGTTTTATGTTAATGTTATATATATATATACATATATTATATATGTGTGTGTATACGTTTCCAAAACGTTTCTAATTCCTAATTTCAGAAAAAATCGTTTCCCGTTTCCGAAACGTTTCGCTTCTACATTTCCGTTTCCGTTTCCATGCAACATAGGTACATATTTTAAAAAGAATAATTTTAAATTTGCTTTTGTCAACCACTCTTTATACCCCAAAAAAAAAATGTCAACCAATATAGTTAATCTAACTTCTCAGTGCATGTGAACTAATATTTTTTTTAATCAGATGTTATTAAAAAAAAATTGTCGACGTAAATCATGCACTGAATGATCAAATAATAATTTCATAGTATATATATCAAACACTACTTTATACATTTTTTATTTTTACGCAGATGTTACAAATTCATCGACGTTTTTGTGTTTAGCGACGAGCGCTTAATGATATGGATCAAAGTTTGCCGCTAGTTGACGTTTTCTTTTGTAGTAAAGAAGTGACTAGTTTTTTTTTTTTTTGTAAAGTTTAGAACTTAGAAGTGACTGGTATTGAAGACATAAGTGATAATTGATAAATGATGAATTATGGACGTATGAATTGACTAGTATGGTAATGCATAATGCGTCATCGTTTCTTCCCTCCATTATTCTATAAAGATTATAATCAAAATCTCTTTTTAATTTCTTTTCAACTTTTAAAAATTTGACATTAATATTTACTTTTGAAAAGAAAGCAAACTTACAAAGCATGTCCAAAGAACAAAGAAAATTTGAATCCATAATTGATGTACATTTTGTTTTATGAACTAATATGTAAGACTTACATAGATAATACAACATATATATATATATATATATCATTGTCACATTATTAAAAATAAATAAAGGAAATGGAAACAAGGTTAATGCATCCTTTGCTTTATCTTTTTGTATTAACCAGTAGACTCTTTGGGTTTTCTTTTCATTGACACATTCATGAACATTATATGCGCTATACATGTAATCATTTCACATCAAATTGCCAGTGATTGAGTTCATTCCAATAAGATGTGGTCTCTACTCTATCCCGATTCCCGATGAAGAGTGTCTGAGCATGATTAATAAGCAGAAGGAATCATTGGGGAATGGTGATGCCCAAGGAAGCAAACTTGTCTCTTATCAGGTGTAACAACAACTGAAATTGTAGCTTGAATGTATCAATGAGCGGTGAACAATTCTTGTGGCCCGTGCTTGGAGAGATACATAATTAAGTAAGGGTTGTTTTTTTTTTTTTTATAAAATTATTTTTCTTTGGTATATATCACATGGTTTATATTACTCTCTTCCTTTCATTACGCAAAATACATATTGTTATACGAATTTCACACATTAAAAACAAAAAACTATTAAAATTTATGCAATATCATTTTATTTCTTTAACAGAAAAAAACTAAAATAATAGAGATAATTTTAGAACTTAATTTAAAAAATCTGCATTGAACTATACACATATACCATCTTTTCCAAAAGTAAGTTTCATAAAGATGTTTGATTCTCCACTAAGGATTCTCCTTAATCCTTATGACTAAATTATGTTTTATACGATTCTAATTAACTCTAAACCAATCAATATATTATGTATCGACGTGTACACTTTTTATAGCTTCCCATCTTGATAACAAAACTAGAACATAATGAGGATACAAAATTAACCAATTAATAAAGAGCGAATAGCAATAATATTTAATTAGTCAAATATCTTTGGTGGAGCCGAACGGAATAAACTATGGTCTAATTTTGTGGGTAATTTGAATTTCCGAATCGATAAATATTATTGGAATTTTGTTTTTATATTATTTACATGTTTTTTTCAATATTAGAATGTACTCCATCTATTTCAATATATATGATGTTTTGGTTAGAAACACACATTTAAAAAAAAAATATTTTCTCTTTTAAAAAATATCATTAAATATTTGATTTAGAAAATTCGACCAATACACAAACAATCATATGATATCAAGTATATTTAAAATTACATAGAAAATTATAAAAAAAATATATATTTTGAAATAAAATAAAAACTCTAAAACATCAAATATTTTAAAACAGAGAAAGTATATAGTATTTTGTTCGGACTAATCTCCTAAAAAGTAACTAATATACTTTTGGTTTCCCTTATTTGGTCAAATTACTCATTTGTTTTCTTTTTTCTCCTTCTCTGCCTAATTGATCAGAATATAATATTCAAGCGGTTTGTATTTCATTGATGTATTATACACTTATACTGATATTCTTTTATTTTATCCATTCGAATATGAGATAATATATATTGTTAAGAAAACAAAAGTAACGCTTAATTTCTTAAAAGCTCTAACAACAAAATTTCGCAAACGTCAAAGAGAATAATTAAAAATAGTTATTAACTATCTAACTCTAAATTAAGGAAATTAAAGAGACGATCACAAAAGTAAGTTAGCGACATATATATAAGTGAGATCTAAAAAAACCATAACGGTATTTGAATTTTCACCAGTTTTTTTCTCCTCTGTCTTCGTTGCATCACTTCTGTATCTCTCTTCTAGAAACTCTCTAAGATTCTCATATTCTTACAGTCTGGATTATTTTGTTATCAATTTGTTTTTCTTCAAGAACGCGTGTCAAATTTTGATATCTCTTTCTACGCAATAACCTCCCTTATATATAAAGCCTTCTCTATTTATTTTTCTATCTCCTTCCTCATAGATCCCGTGAAAGTTTTTCTATTACGTATACTTTTTTCCTATGAAAAAAGAAGAGGAAAGAAAAGAAACAATGGAGGAGAAATCTCCGAAGAAGAATGATGGTGGAAATCAGAAAGTGTCGTTTTTCAAACTGTTTTCGTTTGCCGACAAAACCGACGTAGTTTTGATGACCGTCGGGACTATCGCCGCCATGGGTAACGGCCTAACTCAGCCGCTCATGACTCTAATCTTTGGCCAGCTCATAAATGCCTTTGGCACCACCGATCCAGATCATATGGTTAGAGAAGTGTGGAAGGTAATTAGGGTTTTTTTTCTTCTTTTAATTTAGATTATCTTTTAATTAATTTGGGACTGATTAGATCATCGAGCCGGGTCAAGATTTTCTCGATCAAGCCTTGATTTAAGGATTAGGGTGAATAAATAAATATTCTTGATTTTAGTGATTATCCAGTGTTCCATAATAATGTGATTCGTTGTTATTACTTATTCCATTTGAGTTTTTTTTTTTTTTTAATCTATAATTTTGATAAAAAAAAAAAAAAATTATGATGTAACTTAAAATAGTAAACACCCTTTAATTTCTGCTTTACAAAATCACATTGATTGATCTTAATTATACTTTAATTCTTTATATGAGTTACATGAAATAAATATACAACATTAATGGAGTTTACTGTTTTCTTTGTTTTAAAGATATAGACAAAGATACTGTTTATTTAGCCTTTACTTTAAAGTTAAAGATTGAAAGCAACTTTAGTTTTGGCGTGGAAAATAATCGATTTTATTTAGTAACTACTTCATTAAACTTCCTTCCACGTTTACAGGTTGCTGTAAAGTTTATTTACCTTGCAGTATACTCTGGTGTCGTCGCCTTCCTCCGTAAGCTTACTACTCTCTGTTTTTTAACCCTAACTTGTGTTCCAAGTTAACGATTTCTTCTGCAAATTCTTCAATAGAGGTCTCATGCTGGATGGTTACTGGAGAACGTCAATCCGCCACAATTCGTGGTCTATACTTGAAAACGATATTAAGACAAGATATCGGCTACTTCGATACGGAGACAAACACCGGAGAGGTTATTGGAAGAATGTCTGGAGACACAATTTTGATTCAAGACGCCATGGGAGAAAAGGTTTTTTTTAGTTAAATCTAATCACAAAGAAATGATTTCTTGCGACACAAGATACTGAAAATCTGTTGGTTTTGATGCATAGGTTGGAAAATTCATACAACTAGCAATGACGTTCTTTGGAGGATTCGTGATTGCCTTTTCTAAAGGCTGGCAGTTAACGTTGGTTCTTTGCAGTTGTATCCCTCTGATTGTGATCGCAGGTGCAGCCATGTCTCTGATCATGTCTAAAATGGCTGGTCGTGGTCAAGTCGCTTACGCAGAGGCTGGAAACGTAGTTGAACAAACCGTCGGAGCCATTAGAACAGTGAGTTTTCTCTTCTTTTCTTATTCCCCTTTCCAAAAATTAATCTCCGTGCGATTAGATCAAATCGCGGTTTTCTTCTTAGGTAGTAGC